AGCAGGAATACTGCAGGCTTTTATCCAGGGAAGTAAAATTGTTTATTCTATTTCGTGAGCAAATTAAGAAATGGCTTCTGGGATATGGGCTATTTTATAGTCAAAAATATTTTTATAAAAGTACTTAGTATCAAATCATTGGCATCCCTCTTTTGAAGTTATTTCAAGCTATCCAGAGTCAGGACTGACTTATCTAAGATCCTGGTGCTTCCTGAACAAGGGCGAGAATGGGATGCTGCTCTCCTCTGCTACTATGCTTATCTTTACCCCACAGGTGTAAAGGACAGAAGTTCACTTTAAAGGGAAATACAACATAAGGCTTTTACACTTTTGCAAGCACTAGGGGTGTAGATACAGGCTATAATTCAACTCTAATCTGTCAGTGGTTTTTTTCCAAATCAAAAATCAGTAAACTGAATTTATTAGGTAATATGCGAAGTCTTATTTCTGAAGAAAGTTCTTAGCTATAATGTCTGTACTAAGTAGTACAATTTCTATAAGAGCCATGAACACCTGTTTAAAATCGGGTGGTGGTGGGGGATATCTAGTTTTAAGTGCAAGAAAACTCTTACTATTTATCCTAAAAGGAAGAGGAGTTTTTCTCCTGTAATTGTGCATATTTGATCTGAATCTTAAACTTATAATTAAATATAATTTGAGATCTAATGTAAAGTGACTGCAATGCCAATGTCAAATCAAAACTGTGTTATTCACTTGGTATTCCAGAGACCAAGGATCTAGAGGTGTTCCCAGGCTGATTTTGTAATAAGGATATGCCTGCTGCTGTCCCTTAAAAAAAAAGTGCTTCCTGTCCTTTTTTCCCTCTGTGTGGGAGTAAAATGCTACCCCCTAATAGAATCTTTAAAAATATGCAAAATCAAGGCCAAAAGAAATGTCTTTAATATTCCACAGTGTGGAAATATGTTGAAACAATAGCATGAGAATTAACAAAAGAATTTAACTTCTCTATTGCGTAAGTGCTTGCAAGTAATAATTCTCATATTGTGAGAATATCTGGAGAAGAGTAATTAGCAACCTGTGTTAAATTGCAGCAATATCAAAAGTTAAAATACTTACCACCTTTTACACAAGAGACGTATAAATACAGATGCTTAGCTTTCCTACCTTAGTTACAGAGAAGTCTTTTATTGCAACTGTAAAACGTTGGGCACGTGGCTAAAATTCAAGTCACAGCTGAGTCACTGATATTCCTTGTCTTTCTGCAAGTGATGTGCCTCTTCTATAGAAATACTGACACATTTGCTTTTTAAATGGTTTTGTGAAGGCTTCTGTGAATTTGCTGGTATCACTGTCTAGAGGATGCTACGTAAGGTGCCCGGTCTGTGTGGTTTGAGTGTGCAGGTGCTGCATGCCAAGTGGCAGGTGAAGGGGGAGGCATCCCAGCCCCAACTGGGGTATTTCTGGAAAACAGCAGACCTGAGCAGGCTTGGTACTTGGGGAGAGGAAGTGGAAGTCAGTCTCCTGTTTTATCGGCCAAATCAGCACCTGCTTCTAAGACAGTGCATAAAATGATAATCCCATCCTATGTACATTAATGTAAACTGTGGTGGTGACCACCAAGGACTACAAAGGTTGTGTCAGGCAGAAAAAGCCAGCAATGTGTTGATGTAGCCCAAGTGAACCAATGCTAGGAAGTCTTTCTGGTTTGGTTTTATGTTTTTCTTTGTTTTGGGTTTTTTTCTTTTTCCTGGCAAACTGGAGAGGATTCCAAGAGAGTTTGTGAAGTAAAAGTACATTTAGCAGCAATTGCTCAGAGGCTGTTGAATGTGCTAGAACTGCTCAGTGCAGTTAGCAGCAGCTCTGGATGAGTAAACTAGTTTCCAGGTTTAGCAGGTTGCCTCCTAACATGGAAGGAGCGCTGCTTGAGGTCTGCCCACACTGCCAGTCATTCCTACCCTGCTGCCCCCTCCGTGCAAGCTTGGCTCGTACCCAAAACCACTGAGTGTTTGGTTAACGTTGCCTGTATGTGGGTAAATTTTTGTCCCATTTCATTGCATTTTTGAGAACTTCTAGTCCTGAAAACACCAAAACCCCCCCAACTTTACATAAGTAAACTATAATTTTAAACCAAGGCATGAGGTTTTATCACAGAAGCCTTGATCACATTAGACATTTTCCTGGGAAAATTAAGCTGCATCTTCAAGTTTCTGTTAATTTTTAAGAAAAATGAGCTCTATCTCATTTGTAACCATGTTTGCTAAAATAACAGAATTCGGTATCAGAATGTTCTTGGAAATATTATGGATGAAGAGGCAGCAGG